CACACTCTCTTACACCCGTGTGGGGGTAACATCAGCCCACACTCTCTTACACCCGTGTGAGGGTAACATCAGCCCACACTCTCTTACACCCGTGTGAGGGTAACATCAGCCCACACTCTCTTACTCCTGTGTGAGGGTAACATCAGCCCACACTCTCTTACACCCGTGTGAGGGTAACATCAGCCCACACTCTCTTACACCCGTGTGGGGGTAACATCAGCCCACACTCTCTTACACCCGTGTGGGGGTAACATCAGCCCACACTCTCTTACTCCTGTGTGGGGGTAACATCAGCCCACACTCTCTTACACCCGTGTGGGGGTAACATCAGCCCACACTCTCTTACACCCGTGTGAGGTTAACATCAGCCCACACTCTCTTACTCCCGTGTGAGGTTAACATCAGCCCACACTCTCTTACTCCCGTGTGGGGGTAACATCAGCCCACACTCTCTTACACCCGTGTGAGGTTAACATCAGCCCACACTCTCTTACTCCCGTGTGGGGGTAACATCAGCCCACACTCTCTTACGCCCGTGTGAGGTTAACATCAGCCCACACTCTCTTATACCCGTGTGAGGGTAACATCAGCCCACACTCTCTTACACCCGTGTGAGGGTAACATCAGCCCACACTCTCTTACACCCGTGTGGGGGTAACATCAGCCCACACTCCCTTACTCCTGTGTGAGGGTAACATCAGCCCACACTCTCTTACACCCGTGTGGGGGTAACATCAGCCCACACTCCCTTACTCCTGTGTGGGGGTAACATCAGCCCACACTCTCTTACTCCTGTGTGGGGGTAACATCAGCCCACACTCTCTTACACCCGTGTGGGGGTAACATCAGCCCACACTCCCTTACTCCTGTGTGAGGGTAACATCAGCCCACACTCTCTTACACCCGTGTGAGGTTAACATCAGCCCATACTCTCTTACACCCGTGTGGGGGTAACATCAGCCCACACTCTCTTACTCCAGTGTGGGAGTAACATCAGCCCACACTCACTTACTCCTGTGTGGGGGTAACATCAGCCCACACTCTCTTACTCCAGTGTGGGAGTAACATCAGCTAACACTCACTTACTCCTGTGTGGGGGTAACATCAGCCCACACTCTCTTACTCCAGTGTGGGAGTAACATCAGCCCACACTCTCTTACTCTCATGTGGGGGGTAACATCAGCCCACACTCTCTTACTCCAGTGTGGGAGTAACATCAGCCCACACTCTCTTACTCTCATGTGGGGGGTAACATCAGCCCACACTCTCTTACTCCTGTGTGGGGGTAACATCAGCCCACACTCTCTTACTCCAGTGTGGGGGTAACATCAGCCCACACTCTCTTACTCCTGTGTGAGGGTAACATCAGCCCACACTCTCTTACTCTCGTGTGGGGGTAACATCAGCCCACACTCTCTTACTCTCGTGTGGGGGTAACATCAGCCCACACTCTCTTACTCCCGTGTGAGGGTAACATCAGCCCACACTCTCTTACTCTCATGTTGGGAGTAACATCAGCCCACACTCTCTTACACCTGTGTGGGGGTAACATCAGCCCACACTCTCTTACTCCAGTGTGGGGGTAACATCAGCCCACACTCACTTACTCCAGTGTGGGGCTAACATCAGCCCACACTCTCTTACTCCAGTGTTGGGGGTAACATCAGCCCACACTCTCTTACTCCAGTGTGGAGGTAACATCAGCCCACACTCACTTACTCCAGTGTGGAGGTAACATCAGCCCACACTCTCTTACTCCTGTGTGGGGGTAACATTAGCCCACACTCACTTACTCCAGTGTGGGAGTAACATCAGCCCACACTCTCTTACTCCAGTGTGGAGGTAACATCAGCCCACACTCACTTACTCCAGTGTGGAGGTAACATCAGCCCACACTCTCTTACTCCTGTGTGGGGGTAACATCAGCCCACACTCACTTACTCCAGTGTGGAGGTAACATCAGCCCACATTCTCTTACTCCTGTGTGAGGGTAACATCAGCCCACACTCTCTTACTCCAGTGTGGGAGTAACATCAGCCCACACTCACTTACTCCCGTGTGGGGGTAACATCAGCCCACACTCTCTTACTCCAGTGTGAGGGTAACATCAGCCCACACTCTCTTACTCTCGTGTGGGGGTAACATCAGCCCACACTCTCTTACTCCCGTGTGAGGGTAACATCAGCCCACACTCTCTTACTCCAGTGTGGGAGTAACATCAGCCCACACTCTCTTACTCTCATGTTGGGAGTAACATCAGCCCACACTTTCTTACTCCTGTGTGGGGGTAACATCAGCCCACACTCTCTTACTCCAGTGTGGGGGTAACATCAGCCCACACTCACTTACTCCAGTGTGGGGCTAACATCAGCCCACACTCTCTTACTCCAGTGTTGGGGGTAACATCAGCCCACACTCTCTTACTCCAGTGTGGAGGTAACATCAGCCCACACTCACTTACTCCAGTGTGGAGGTAACATCAGCCCACACTCTCTTACTCCTGTGTGGGGGTAACATTAGCCCACACTCTCTTACTCTCGTGTGGAGGTAACATCAGCCCACACTCACTTACTCCAGTGTGGAGGTAACATCAGCCCACACTCACTTACTCCAGTGTGGGAGTAACATCAGCCCACACTCTCTTACTCCAGTGTGGAGGTAACATCAGCCCACACTCACTTACTCCAGTGTGGAGGTAACATCAGCCCACACTCTCTTACTCCTGTGTGGGGGTAACATCAGCCCACACTCACTTACTCCAGTGTGGAGGTAACATCAGCCCACACTCACTTACTCCAGTGTGGAGGTAACATCAGCCCACACTCACTTAATCCAGTGTGGAGGTAACATCAGCCCACACTCACTTACTCCTGTGTGGAGGTAACATCAGCCCACACTCACTTACTCCTGTGTGGAGGTAACATCAGCCCACACTCTCTTACACCCGTGTGGGAGTAACATCAGCCCACACTCTCTTACACCCGTGTGGGGGTAACATCAGCCCACACTCTCTTACTCCAGTGTGGGAGTAACATCAGCCCACACTCACTTACTCCTGTGTGGAGGTAACATCAGCCCACACTCTCTTACTCCTGTGTGGAGGTAACATCAGCCCACACTCACTTACTCCAGTGTGGGGGTAACATCAGCCCACACTCTCTTACTCCAGTGTGGGAGTAACATCAGCCCACACTCTCTTACTCCTGTGTGGGAGTAACATCAGCCCACACTCTCTTACTCGCGTGTGGGGGTAACATCAGCCCACACTCTCTTACTCCTGTGTGGGGGTAACATCAGCCCACACTCTCTTACTCCTGTGTGGGAGTAACATCAGCCCATACTCTCTTACTCCTGTGTATGGGTAACATCAGCCCACACTCTCTTACTCGCGTGTGGGGGTAACATGAGCCCACACTCTCTTACTCCTGTGTGGGGGTAACATCAGCCCACACTCTCTTACTCCAGTGTGGGAGTAACATCAGCCCACACTCTCTTACTCCTGTGTGGGGGTAACATCATCCCACACTCCCTTACACCCGTGTGAGGGTAACATCAGCCCACACTCTCTTACTCCTGTGTGGGGGTAACATCAGCCCACACTCTCTTACTCCAGTGTGGGAGTAACATCAGCCCACACTCTCTTACTCCCGTGTGAGGGTAACATCAGCCCACACTCTCTTACTCCAGTGTGGGAGTAACATCAGCCCACACTCTCTTACTCCTGTGTATGGGTAACATCAGCCCACACTCTCTTACTCGCGTGTGGGGGTAACATCAGCCCACACTCTCTTACTCCAGTGTGGGAGTAACATCAGCCCACACTCTCTTACTCCTGTGTGGGGGTAACATCAGCCCACACTCTCTTACTCCAGTGTGGGAGTAACATCAGCCCACACTCTCTTACTCCTGTGTATGGGTAACATCAGCCCACACTCTCTTACTCGCGTGTGGGGGTAACATCAGCCCACACTCTCTTACTCCAGTGTGGGAGTAACATCATCCCACACTCCCTTACACCCGTGTGAGGGTAACATCAGCCCACACTCTCTTACTCCTGTGTGGGAGTAACATCAGCCCACACTCTCTTACTCCTGTGTGGGGGTAACATCAGCCCACACTCTCTTACTCCAGTGTGGGAGTAACATCATCCCACACTCTCTTACTCCAGTGTGGGAGTAACATCAGCCCACACTCTCTTACTCTCATGTGGGGGTAACATCAGCCCACACTCTCTTACTCCTGTGTGAGGGTAACATCAGCCCACACTCTCTTACTCCAGTGTGGGAGTAACATCAGCCCACACTCTCTTACTCTCATGTGGGGGTAACATCAGCCCACACTCTCTTACTCCTGTGTGAGGGTAACATCAGCCCACACTCTCTTACACCAGTGTGGGGGTAACATCAGCCCACACTCTCTTACTCCAGTGTGGGGGTAACATCAGCCCACACTCTCTTACTCTCATGTGGGGGTAACATCAGCCCATACTCTCTTACTCCAGTGTGGGGGTAACATCAGCCCACACTCTATTACTCCAGTGTGGGGGTAACATCAGCCCACACTCTCTTACTCTCATGTGGGGGTAACATCAGCCCACACTCTCTTACTCCTGTGTGGGAGTAACATCAGCCCACACTCTCTTACTCTCATGTGGGGGTAACATCAGCCCACACTCTCTTACTCCTGTGTGGGAGTAACATCAGCCCACACTCTCTTACTCCAGTGTGGGAGTAACATCAGCCCACACTCTCTTACTCCTGTGTGGAGGTAATAAAAGCCCCTTGCCTAACCACTTGGGCTGGTCGGCAGAGCAACGGTCTCGCTTCATGCAGGTCAGGTTTGATCCCCGACCGTCCAGGTGGTAGGGCACCATTCCTTTCATCCGTCCCATCTCAATCCTTATCCTGACCCCCATTCCTTTCATCCGTCCCATCCTAATCCTTATCCTGACCCCTTCCAAATGCAATACAGTCGTAATGACCTTGCGTTTTCCCCTAATAATGCCCTTCTCTTCTTATGTTATTTGTTGTATTCAATGTTTAACACAACACAGAAGGTACACCCTACATGGAGAGGACAGGTACATCCTAGATGGAGAGAACAGGTACACCCTAGATGGAGAGGACAGGTACACTATAGATGGAGAGTACAGGTACACCCAAGATGGTGAGGACAGGTACACCCTAGATGGAGAGGATAGGTACACCCTAGATAGTGAGGACAGGTACACCCTAGAAGGAGAGGACACGTACACCCTAGATGGAGAGGACAGGTACACCCTAGATGGAGAGGACAGGTACACCCTAGTTGGAGAGGACAGGTACACCCTAGATGGAGAGGACAGGTACACCCTAGATGGAGAGGACAGGTACACCCTACATGGAGAGGACAGGAACACCCTAGATGGAGAGGACAGGTACACCCTAGATAGAGAGGACAGGTACACCCTAGTTGGAGAGGACAGGTACACCCTAGATGGAGAGGACAGGTACACCCTAGATGGAGAGGATAGGTACACCCTAGATGGTGAGGACAGGTACACCCTAGATGGAGAGGTCAAGTACACTCTAGATATAGAGGACAAGTACACCCTAAATGGAGAAAACAGGTACACCCTAGATGGTCATAACAGGAACACCCTAGATTGAGTGGGACAGGTACTCCCTAGATGGTGAGGCCAGGTACACCCTAGATGGAGAGGACAGGTACACCCTAGATGGAGAGGAGAGGTGCACCATAGATGGAGAGAATAGTTACACCTTAGATGGAGAGGACAGGTACACCCTAGATAGAGAGGACAGGTACACCCTAGATAGAGAGGACAGGTACACCCTAGATAGAGAGGACAGGTACACCCTAGATGGAGACGACAGGTACACCCTAGATAGAGAGGACAGGTACACCCTAGATAGAGAGGACAGGTACACCCTAGAAGGAGAGGACAGGTACACCCTAGAAGGAGAGGACAGATACACCATAGATGGAGAGCGTAGTTACACCGTAGATGGAGAGGACAGGTACACCCTAGATAGAGAGGACAGGTACACCCTAGAAGGAGAGGACAGGTACACCCTAGAAGGAGAGGACAGATACACCATAGATGGAGAGCGTAGTTACACCGTAGATGGAGAGGACAGGTGCACCCTAGAAGGAGAGGACAGATACACCGTAGATGGAGAGCGTAGTTACACCGTAGATGGAGAGGACAGGTGCACCCTAGAAGGAGAGGACAGGTACGCCTTAGATGGGGAGGACAGGTACACCCTAGATGACGAGGAGAGGTTCACCCAAGATAGAGAGGACAGGTACACCCTAGAAGGAGAGGACAGATACACCATAGATGGAGAGGACAGATACGCCGTAGATGGGGAGGACAGGTACACCTTAGGTGCCATATTACACGATTTTTAAATGTTGTTTAATGGCAACCAAACTTTTTTTACTAGTTGTGTATAAGATTGACTGCAACTGTTCTGTGTTTCAGTTTCGTACCCTAAATTGAAAGGGAGTTATTGTTATCTAGTTTTTTTCCAATGAATTTTACACATTTTCAACAATTTCACAAACCACAAGTTTCAAATTAAATCATTTCTATGATGACACTCATTTAATACATTAGCATATAATACAGGATTTGTATGGTAACGATTATCCAAAATATGCTTAGTTTTATTAATAAAAGTAGTCAAAGTTCCCCAAAAATGGAGAGGGGACACCACTCTAGATGGAGAGGACAGGTGCACCCTAGATGGAGAGGACAGGTACACCCTAGTTGGAGAGGACAGGTACACCCTAGACGGGGAGGACAGGTAAACCCCCAGATGGAGAGGACACGTACACCCTAGATGGTGGGGAGAGGTAAAACCTAAATGGAGAGGACAGGTACACCCTAGACGGAGAGGACAGGTATACCTTAGATGGAGAAGACAGGTACACCCTAGAAAGGGGACTACAGTTTACACCCTAGTTGGAGAGGACAGGTACACCCCAGATTGAGAGCACACTTACACCCCAGATGGTGAGAAAATGTACCCCAATAGATGGAGACAACAGGTACACCCGAGATGGAGAGGACAGGTACACCCTAGATGGAGAGGACAGATATACCCTAGATGGAGAGGACAGGTACACCCTAGATGGAGAGGACAGGTACACCCTAGATGGAGAGGACAGATATACCCAAGATGGAGAGGACAGGTGCACCCTAGATGGAGAGGAGAGGAACACCCTAGATGGAGAGAACAGGTACACCCTAGATTGTGAGGATAGGTACTCCCTAGATGGTGTGGAGAGGTACACCCTAGACGGTGAGGAGATGTACAACCTAGATGGTGTGGAGAGGTACACCCTAGATGGTGATGAGAGGTACCCCGTAGATGGAGAGGAACGAAACACACGTGATGGAGAAAAGAGGTATATGCTAGAAGCAGCGGTATATGATAGAAGTAGAAGTATATACTAGAAGTAGCGGTATATGCTAGAAACAGCAGTATATGCTAGAAGTAGCGGTATGTGCTAGAAGTAGCGGTATATGCTAGAAGTAGCGGTATATGCTAGAAGTAGAGGTATTTGCTAGAAGTAGAGGTATATGCTAGAAGTAGAAGTATATGCTTGAAGTAGAGGTATATGCTAGAAGTAGAGGTATATGCTAGAAGTAGAGGTATATGCTAGAAGTAGAATTATATGATAGAAGCAGAGGTATATGCTAGAAGTAGAAGTATATGTTTGAAGTAGAGGTATATGCTAGAAGTAGAAGTATATACTAGAAGTAGAGGTATATGCTAGAAGTAGAAGTATATGCTAGAAGTAGCGGTATATGCTAGAAGTAGCGGTATATGCTAGAAGTAGAGGTATATGCTCGAAGTAGCGGTATATGCTAGAAGTAGAAGTATATGCCAGAAGTAGAGGTATATGCTAGAAGTAGAAATATATGCTTGAAGTAGAGGTGTATGCTAGAAGTAGAAGTATATGCTAGAAGTAGAAGTATATGCTTGAAGTAGAGGGATATGCTAGAAGTAGAAGTTTATGCTAGAAGTAGAGGTATATGCTAGTAGTAGAGGTATATGCTAGAAGTAGAGGTATATGTTAGAAGTAGAAGTATATGCTTGAAGTAGAGGTATATGTTAGAAGTACTTCTATAATATGTGTATTATACATATATAAAACGCTAAACTATAATGCCAATCCTGATCTCAAAAGCTTCATAGAAGGTTGTAACAGAACCCATGAGCACCACACCAGAAATAAATACAGTTTTGATATTCCTAGAGTACGACTAAATCAAACCAGAAATGCTCTACAAATCAAGGGGCCCAGAATGTGGAATGACCTTCCCAACCATGTTAAAGACTGTACCTCTCTCAACCAGTTTAAGTTAAAAACGAAGCTATACCTAATAAATTCCATGTAACCCACCTTACCCCCCTGTTGTCAACCCATGTATGTTTTTTGTTTTTTTGTTTTTCAAATCAACGCTGTTTGAATGTAATTTTCTGTAATAATTTGTAATTGTATTTGTGCTGCTTTTTCAACAATGTTCCCCCCTCTTTTACCTCTATTTTTTATATGTACTCATCACATCTTTTCTTTTTACCCATTAGTTTTAAGCTTTAGTCATTAATGTTTTTCCTGCCCGAAACGCTTTGCGTAATAGTGGCTTTAGGCATTGTATGTACTAGCTCTATCTATAAAGCCAACAAACTTTGTAAAATCTCTTTATGTATGTACCTTACCTAAATAAAAATTATTATTATTATTATTATTATTATAAGTAGAAGTATATGCTTGAAGTAGAGGTATATGCTAGAAGTAGAGGTATATACTAGAGGTAGAGGTATATACTAGAAGTAAAGGTATATACTAGAAGTAGAGGAATATCCTAGAAGTAGAGGTATATGCTAGAAGTACAGGTATATGCTAGAAGTACAGGTATATAGTAGAAGTAGAGGAATATCCTCGAAGTAGAGGTATATACTAGAAGTAGAGGTATTCTCTAGAAGCAGAGGTATACCTAAGAAGGAAAGGTGAGGTGCACATTAGATGGAGAAGAGAAATATACACAAGATGAGAAGGAGGAGCAGAGAGAAACTTAAAATATTTACCACACAGTCAGTGTGACCTTCATGAACACTAACTATCTAAATGCAAAAATTTAAGACAAGCTTTATATCTTCCCCAGGAGCTGAGTCAGTCCTCTGCGGGGATGTTATTGTTGTTTTGTCAACAGGAGGGCAAGACTTGTGCCATCATGATTGCCGATCTCAAGGAGAAAGAAATCAGCGTTGTAGACGGAGCTTGTGACGAGATGTTTGACCTGTTGGTGTGTAAGGTGGGTTAACAACCAATTATACCCCAAATATTTCAATTTAATTGAGTTTTTGGTGTCAATTATACAGTTATCAGACTATGTCATTTACAGACAAATACCTGTAAAGGTGTTTGTCCTGTAAATTTGTTTGTCTTGTAAAAGTAGTTTTTCCTGTAAAAGTTGTTTATTCTGAAAGTTGTTTGAATTGTAAAGTTGTTGGTCCTATAAAATTTGTTTGTCCTGTAATATTAGTTTGTCCTGTAAAAGTAGTTTGTCCTGTAAAAGTGGTTCGTCCTGAAAGTTGTTTTATCCTGTAAAGTTCTTTATCCAATAAAGTATTTTGTCCTTTAAAAGTTCTTTGCCATGTAAAACTTGTTTGTCCTGAAAGTTGTTTGTCCTGTGAAGTTTTTGTCCTGTATAAGTTGTTTGTCATGTAAAACTTGTTTGTCCTGTAAAAGGTGTTTATCCAGTAAAGTTGTTTTACTGATAAAAGAGGATTGTCATGTAATGTTGTTTGTCCATGAATAGTGTTTTATCATGTAAATGTTGTTACTTCTATAAAAGTAGTTTCTCCTGTAAAAGTTGGTCGTCATGTAAAGTTGTTTGTCCTGTAAAGTTCTTAATCCAGTAAGGTATTTTGTCCTGTAACAGTTCTTAATCCTGTAAAAATGTTTGTGCTCTAAAAGTTGTTTTACCTATAAAAGTGGTTTGTCCTGTCAAAGTTGTTTTACCTATAAAAGTGGTTTGTCCTGTCAAAGTTGTTTGTCATGAAAGTTGTTTGTCCTGTAAAGCTGTTAGTCCTGTAAAGTTATTTGTCCTGTAAAAGTTGTTTGTCCTGTAAAAGTTGATTGTCCCCTAAAAGTTGTTTGTCCTGTAAAAGTGGTTTGTCCTGTAAAAGAGGTTTGTCCTGAAAGTTGTTTGAACTGGATAGTTGTTTGTCCTGTAAAATTTGTTTGTCCAGTAAAAGTTGTTTGTCATGTAGAAGTGGTTTGTCCTGAGAGTTGTTTGTCCCAGTTAAGTTGTTTGTCCTGTAAAAGTTGTTTGTCCAGTGAAAGTTGTTTGTCTTGTGAAAGTTTTTGTCCTGTAATAGTTGTTTGTCCTTTAAAATTTGTTTGTCCTGCAAAATTTGTTTATGCTCTAAAAGTTGTTATTCCTGAAATTTGTTTGTCCTGTGAAGTTCTTTGGTCTGTAAAATTTGTTTTTCCTGAAAGTTGTTTATCCAGTAAAATTGTTTGTCCTGTAACTGTTGTTTATACTGTAAAGTTGTTTGTCCTGTAAAGTTTTTTTGTCCTGTAAAAGTTGATTGTCCTGAAAATATTGTTTGTCCTGTAAAAGTTGTTTGTCTTGTAAATTTGTTTGTCATGTAAAATTGTTGGTCCTGTAAAGTTCTTTTCGTGCAGAATTGTTTGTTTTTTTAACAGTTGTTTGTCCAGTAAAAGATGCTTGTCCTGTAAAGTTCTTTGCCCTGTAAAAGTTTTTTGTCCTGAAAAAAGTTGATTGTCCTGTTAAAATTATTTTCCTTTAAAAGTTGCCTGTCCTGTAAAAAATTTTGTCATGTAAATTATTTGTCCTGCAAAGTTTGTTATCCTGTGATGTTGTTTGCACTTACAAGTTGTTTGTCCTGTAAATTTGTTTGTCCTTTAAAGTTGTTTGTCCTGCAAAGTTATTTGTCCTGTAAAAGTTGTTCGTCCTGTAAATGTTGATTGTGCTCTAAAAGTTGTATTATCCTTAAAAGTGGTTTGTCGTGTAAAAGTGGTTGGTCCTGGAAGTTCTCTGATCTGTAAAGTTGTTTGTCTTGTAAAAGTTGTTTGCCCTCTAAAAGTTTTTTGTCCTATAAAAGTTGTTTGTCATGTAAAAGTTGTTTGTCCTCTAAAAGTTTTTGTCCTCTAAAAGTTGTTTGTCATGTAAAAGTTGATTGTCCTGTAGAGTTGTTTTCCTATAAAAGATGTTTGTCATGTAAATGCTGTTACTACTGTAAAAGTTGTTTGTCCTTCAAAAGTTGTTTGTCATGTAAAGTTGTTTGTTCTGTAAACTTCTTAATCCAGTAAAGTGTTCTGTCCTGTAACAGTTGCTTATCATGCATAAAAGTTTGTCCTGTATAATG